TCATATTCTCCATATCGTCATAGAAACGTTCACCACCTGTCGGAAAACCGATAGAATTGGGTCGGTTTATACAAGATACCAGGACAGGACAGTGGAAACGGGCACATTATCAAAGGGAACGTGGACTGTGGAATCGCACTGCCCCCTAACTTATCATAACGTTCATTGGAGGTTAAAACTCCTTGAGACGGTTGGTAAAAGCATATTCTGTATCCAAACGTTTTTAAAAAGACCACTTTTAGTCAATTCAGGCGTATAAACAGAACCTCCGTCCACACTCTTGGTTGCAACTATTAAATTCTTACCGTAGATCCAACCAATGGCAATACTTTGAAACAAGGCGATCCACAAAAGAGCAGAGCCACTGGCCGAGTAATTGTCAAATAGTTGAAAGACGTACATCCCACCCTGAAAATTAAAGAAAAACATCAACATTTAACGAAAATCACGGGCTAAAATTCCACAAAGGTATGAGTAGAAGTGAATATGACATTATAACCTATCATATGATCAAGCTCGCTGACGCTTTCTCCGTTGCTCGTCTGGTTGTGAAATTACTGAGAAATCGACACAGGCTCGATTGGAATCCTCACAGGGCCCTGAGATTTTATTTCTTTATAATATCAACCTTCTAACCTTTAAAGTCATTTTCTACGCTAAAGCATGGAGAAACGTTTGCATTTACGCTAAAAGAGAGGTCTTGCTGCTATTCTACCACAATAGCGTTGTTTTAAGGATTAGAGGAAAGTTAAATATGTAAAATCAGAGCTTATATCTGTTTCTGCCGATTGCAGTTGTGGTGTCGTTTAAAATCGCACTTTTCTTTGTTGCATGTAAGAGACATATGCTCAATATTTTTTTAATCGTATGTAATTGTATAAAAATACATATCCCTTTAAAACTAGGGCAAATGTCGTTGTAAAACATATTCCATTCCTGCAGAGAAATACTTCGTAAGTTCGCCGTTTTACAGAAAATCATTTGCTTTTACGTTCGATGATCTTTTATTTTTTTGTTTTTTTGGCAAATTATCAATCTCATGAGAGAATTTTAAATGAAGTAAAAACTCTGTGGAGGCTTTTGATCGGGGTTTCATTAACCAGGAATTTGATATAAAAAGTAGAGCTGCTTTTCAAAAGAGTTTGTTCAGGCCTTCATTAAGGACCTTAAGTAGCCAGGACGGGAAAGGCGAGGAAGACATTGTTGAATTAAGAAACTAAATCTTATTTTTGCTAAGAATTTCACGAATGACTGGACGTGTTTACCATCTCTTACGTTACCACACCTCAACTTACGCTTAACGCATGTGAGCATAGTTGAGTTCAACATGGAAACATAAATGACCTGCCGTCGGAGTTTGTCCCTCAAATTTTGGCGATTTCGCAGTGTTATTTGCGTTCTAGTTGCTGTCGTCGTGGTTTGCTTAAGCTCCCTATTATTAGAGACCTTTAGCAGTTACGACGGCAACGCCAAAGAAGACGTCGATTTAAAAATGAATTTATATTTGTTGTTGGAATTTCGCAAATGAGTAGATATGATTAACATCCCTAACAGTGCCGCAAGTTAACCTCAGCATAGCTACGAGAACAGCGTTGAGTTCCAAATGGAAACTTAGGTAATTTGCCGTCGAGGTTTCCTTTCTCGGACTACGCAAATTTTGATGATTTCACGTTGTTATTTTGCAGAGGACGGCTGAGAAATGTACACACTTTGAAAACACACGAGCTGAGCTATTGTTCTGCTCTTTAGATCTTTTTTTTTGCTACTTCCTCGTTGTCGTCGCCGTCGCCGTCGTGGTTTGCTAAAAGTCCCTACTATTAGTGATCGGCACGAGAGTTTCTTCACCTGCGGAAAAGTAAGAGGCTTTGAGAAACGCAAACCAGCAAGAAGTGTGCAGTGAGTGTAAGTCTCATTATTAGTGCCACTGAGATCCCCGGCACCGATCCTAGAGGTAAACCTCTCGCCGACTCGACTCAAATCTTTTCGCAGGCGGAGAAACACGCGTCCTGCAGGGCTCATCATTAGGGCCTGCTTGTAACCTAGTTCCAGAAAGTTATAACACAAGATCTTTACGTTTTTCTTTTATGCTTTTGAAGGTACCTTAGTAACCATGGACAAACCAATGAGAAACCAGATACAGCACATAAATGCGATGAACATCTCTTTACGATAACCACGCCTTAAGTGTCTGGGGAACAGGTCCACAATGGCTGTTACAAATCCCTCAATGCCCACAAACTTGAAATAAGACAAAAATTAGAGGTCATTATCATAATATGCGCCTTCGTGTTTTCTGCAATGTTTATGCACAAACTTGTAAAACACACAAGATATCCAGTTCAAAGTTTGATAAGCTGCAAATTTACTCTAATACCTCGCTGTCGAGTCCCAGCAAGAAGACCATAAAGAAAAACAGCACCGACCATAGAGGGGCCAAAGGCATCTGAGCAACGGCTTCTGGGTAAGCGATGAATGCAAGTCCTGGACCTAGGGAGGAGGCGATGTGATGAGTTAGAGACTAGTAAGGGGATGTTGGAGGATTTGGGAGGGGATCCCATGGTTTTCAGGGGAAACGGAGGGATTACTTGCCACCAACATAGTGTAGACAGGGGACTTAAGAAAATTCGATTTCTGATGAACTGCCAACGAGGGGGGATAATATGTATATTATAGAGCCCGAGGGATCAGGTAAATTTTATCGTGACATAACCAATATCTTCTGAATGAGGCAACAAGTAAGATCTTGAACGGCTGTGAATACATGAAAGTCATATATTTGAACTGCGGATAAAGACGTGAATATGAA